TGCATGCGCAAAAATGAGAAATTTTGGAATTTTTCATTAATTATTAATTGCTCTAAACAATTTGGATTTTTTTATATTAAATTTTTCAGGTTTTATTACTGTGAAAATGGCCAAAATTAACTTAAAAAACTTGAAATTATCAAAAAAAGACCTGAAATGGCTTCCGTTAAGATATAAAACTAAAAATCAGCTTTGACACGAGAAAATTCGAATGTCAAATTTTCGCGCGTATTTTGAGCACCAAAGCGGCGAAAAAAAAATTCGCCACTCATGTTGGACATTATGCCACTCTTTAATTTTCATAAAATCTAAAAATCATTTCATTATAATAAGTAGTTCAAGAATTATTCAAGAAATAGTTTAGTCCGGTTTTTTAGTGATCACCCCTTATAATGGCAGTAAAAAAGTTCAGTCAAACTTTTTTTTCTGGTTAATGATTAGAAGATTAGAAATAGAAATGAAAACAAAGTTTCATAAGTAGATAAGTTATGATGCTGGTGATGAATAGATTGTAATGATTAATTGTTATCAAGATGAATGAGGGTTTTCCTAAGAAAAGATCTCAAGGATAATACAAGACAAACAAAAGTAAATCGATATAAATCAAAGTCACTAACGTTATCCGCATGATACTCTAACGGTGATAAACTAAGTTTATTTAGTTAATGTGAATGAGAATGTAGGGAAAATTGTCCAAAACGAAAGGTCATTCAAGGTTATTGGAAGGAATTATAATCGCTACTGACAAGGTAAAGTCAAGGTGAAAAATTTATGAAGACTTAGCTATTAAAAAGAACTGACCACTGTGGTCACTGTAGTGGATAATTTCAGGTAAAGTGCTACAAGAAAATAAGGATTACTCTGCACGCTAAAGGATAATTATGATTAACACAGAAAATAGTAATTATTAAGGACAGAAACTTATTATATGACAAGAATGACGATATTATCGTAATTATAATCCACAAATGATCACAACTTTCCCTTTTTATGTTCTCACAATATCTTTTTAGACACATAATAAGTTAACTAATGATAACATGAAGAGACCAAAAAATAAATAAATGAATTCATTCAAATGAAATATTTAAAACCTTGTTGATGTATTTGCGAATTTAGTTTTGTTATAAATCCTCTGAACCAAATGCTGGGCTCAGTTCATCACTGGGATGTTTTCATCAAAGAGAGAGAGAGAGAGAGAGAGAGAAGAGAGAGAGAGAGAGAGAGAGAGATTTGGGATTGTGAAAGTAACGCACAAAGAATAAGTTATCAAGATGAGAATAGAAAATCTATAAATTTTTAGCCTTTTTTGCTTCCAAATAGACAAAAGGAAAATTGAACAAAGGTAAAAAAGGATGAAAGTTGCGATGATGATGATGGCGATAACAATAAGAACAACTTGGTTCTATTATCATAATAGATTCCCAACACATTACCATTAGTGGTTTTCATTTGAAAATTGAGAGCATAACAGAATAGGTATGAGGAAATCGCGTTGAGAATTAATTCTTAATCAACGATTAAATTGATAAAGGTCTAATAGTTTCGTAGACGATGGAGATTCCTAAGCTACTGGATCGATTAAATTTAGATTTAATCTTAGTTTAAAGTGAACAATTAACTTGAAATGCAAGTCTTTTATTAAAAGAGACAGGTTGAATAATGAAGAAAAGATTAGAGCAAACAGATTATGTTATAATTAGTCTGAATGAATGAATTAGATGGAAAACTGAATAAAATCTGATTACTTGATAAACAAGATGAATCTGTAGAGTCTTAAGGATATTCGCTTCTCATTCACATGAACTTTTTCCATGTATCTTTACAACACAGACGAATTCAAAGATTCTCTCTCTCTCTCTCTCTTATTGCCATATAGTAGCAATCGATGCAAATTGGATGAAAAAAGATACTTTTACCATCATCCCTTCATCTTGAGTTTCTTATTTTCTCTTACTATTCAACTTTTCCCTTGGGTGATGTGAACTAAGGATGAATGAAAAGCAAAATGGCCAAGAAAATGACAAACTATGGCAATTTAATTTCACTCTTTTTTGCATCTAACATTAGATGAACTGGTTAACCATGTTAAACTTATATAATGTTATTATAAGAGAAAGAAAGAAAAAGATCAAATCTGAAGATGAAAAGAGGAGAAAAAGTAAAGCAAGGAAAATGATGACGATTATTATACCTAACGGTATATTAGATTAACGAAAGTAAAGAAAATGAGGAAAAGAGGTAGAGACATGAGAATACTTAAAAACAATCAGACAAATTTGACGATATTTTCACCAATAAGAGGAATTGGTAATAAAAATCAAAGCGTAAGAGAAGATGATGGGAAAAAGGAAGAGGAAGAAAAAGAAGAAGCAGAAGATGGAGAAAATGATGATGATGGGAAGATCGAGAGGAGGGAAAGAAAAGTTAGATTATGTTGGTCATTGTTGAAGGAAGAATCAAGTTGCTAACTATGGTTAGTGTATTGGTTGTAGAATGAGGATGATGACGAAAAGGAAAAAGAAAAAGAAAGATGAAGATGAAAGTAAAAGGATGATGATCTCTCTTAGAATACAGTAAACCATTGCTCGGATTCATGGTTGAGTGACAGAGCATGGCTTATCCATTGCAAGAGAATCTTCATCATCTTCTTCCCAATTTTCATCATCATCATTCTCATCCCAATCCAGATTCACTTCCATGTAGCCATTCACCGGTTTCATCGTCAATAATAACAGAAGATGATTCCATAGGGATTCTCAATAGGCAAACAAAAAACAACTACATGCAAGATGAATCAACGATCATCAGGATGAGGATGATAAGGAAGATATGAAAACATGGTAACTCTCTATTGATATTAATCCAGTTATTCAATATCGAAGAAGAAAAAAACAGAATCATGTTTGATTTATAATATTTTTTGTTTTTTTCTATCACAATATCAAGAACTGGAAGTGTGAAAAATAATCAAAAGAAATGAAAGTTCAATATGAGAAATCAAAGACCCTGAGGCTAAAACAGAAAAGGGTAAACACTTTGGTCATTCAATTATAACACATGTTACTTTTCAAATAATCGATTGATACAGTTGAACAATCGAGGAGAAAATGAATAACAGTTACTTTGTCTTGAAACGTTCGTTTCTGATGATAACTCACTTAATCACCTTAATTATGATCGAATAATCGAATTTCAATTTAATAGTAACTAATTTCCTGAGAACAATAATTCATTTCCCATTTCACTTTCTTTTCTTTTCTCCAAAAACTGTTCACTTGTTTTAATTCTCATCATCAGCCTTCAGTTTGTCTACTTTTTTCTCCCAATTTGTACTTTCAGCTTTTTCTCGCATTTTTTTATTGAAACTCTGGAAGCAGAAAAGAACTAAAAATGATAATATAAAAAAGTATTTTGTAAATTTGGATGCGTTTCAATTCACTGAATTTCTTATCGTCATTATTATTCCTATTGGATAATATTATTCAAAGAAATTTAATGTTTCTCTCTGAAATGTTTCTTTCTCTTTACTGATTACCTAATGTCATTAAACATCCTTTTATCATCTTCTTGGTGAAAAGGTCAATTTACGGTCAAAAGTGTTGATAATAAATGCACATAAATGAACATGTTGTGTGTAAATTTAATCTAAACATTTCAAACTCAATCTAAACTTTGCTCAATAAGAGATGAAGAGATGAAGAGATGCATAAATTGGAATAAATTCGGAGTAACGGAAGAGAATGGGAGAGATGATAAAATGATGATCATCTTGATGAAAGAAAGAAAATGAAATGATAGAAAAAGGTTAAGATAATAACGATTGATTTGTATTCAAGTCCACACCAAGTTAACTTGACCCTCATCTTTATCCTTCTTTTTCTCATGGTACATTTTTCATGTTCGAAAATTATTTTTACTCTATTTCATAATTTTTGAAATACAAACAAAAAATGTCAACAATATTTTTCTTTATTCTTTCATGATAGAAACTCAATTTTTTCTCTCTCTCTCAACATCATCATCATCACCATTTAACAGATAAATTACCATAAAAAATACCATCATCACCGTTATTATTGTGAAGATTGCTTGTTATTATATAATCACTATCATTGGGTGAGAACCAATAATATTGTTGGTAACTAATATTAATACTTAAAGGCTTCAACATCATTATCATCATTATAGTCATTAACATCTGAATATAATCACCGGATCTGAGTATTTACAATTTTTTCATTATTTTTTATAACACATCTAACGTTTTGATAGGTAATCCATCAATGTAACCCGATGATGATGTTTAAAGGTTGGGAAAATCAAAAAAAGTTGCAATTAAGTGAGTGGAAAATTTTGTGTTCACAATTAATGAGCTTTCATTTCGACTGTTGGTAAAAATATTAATGTAATAATTAAGATTTGATTCCCATGTTATCGTTGAAAGGCAACAAATACAACAAATAATAACGGTAAATATTATATAAACAATTGATTGTTGACGTTGTTAACTTTTGTTTATATTTGTATTATCGCGTTGATATCAGTTAAGGGAGAGTCAGAAAGTGCAAGTGAATAAACAAACCATCAGAAAATTAATAGTTATATTAATACATAAACGCTGTTTGATTGGAAACTAAATTGATTCAGATTATTTAAGATGAACTTTATTGATTCATCGATTCTCAAACATGAACCAGGTACATGAAAATCTTATGGATTATTTTTTGTTTGAACAGTCTTATTTTATCACCATGAAATATCGTTCATTCCATGTCTACATAGCAACTACACCTACGATAAAAGTTCTGAAATTTTCTTTTGCTTCGGTAATTCTGCCTCTCTCATGTAAGAATGAGCAGTCAGTTAGTGTTCAATTAAAGGTTAAGGTGATGGTGAAAGTAAAAAGGGTAAATGGCAAATAGACAAAAGTAAATCTACAAATGAGATAACATCAGATGATAAGATTAAGGAAGAGGAAATAAAAACTAATATCTTACCTGGTTGGGAAGTATTTTTAGTCTTATTTCTCATCTCAGTTATATTTTCATAAAGAGGAGCTTCAGATTCGTGTTTTACCTCGAAGGCTTTACGAATCGCTGAAACAGAGACTGAGGTTGCGTTCACTGGTACGGCAGTTAATAGTTGCTGTGGGTGATTGGTTGACTTATTAATTCCCTCACAATCAACTAGACCGATAACAACAACATTAGATCCACAGGTATTGACAACTGAAGCTGATTGAGTTGGTATAAAGGTGGACGATGAAACGACTGTTGTAGGTCCAATAATGGATGATTGAATAGGTGATGATGATGAACTCATTGTTGTTGAAGATGCATTTAATGATGAAGGTGATGATGTTAATGATGAGGGAGCAGGTAGTGGTTTCGCCAGTGACACTGATTTAACTGAACCCTCAGGGCATTCATTCACCGGACCAGTTCTTGCTAACGGTCTTGTATTCATACTTTCACTGACTTCATTTAACTGATTAACCGGCTCATTATTATTAGTGTTAAGGATTTTTGAACCGATGGAATCATTTCTTATTGCTCCATGAATATCACTCATGTAATTTTCATTGTTTCCGGTTGATTGGTTTGATTCATCATCAGCATTGAAATCACCTTCTTTATCCTCTTTCCTAATTACAGTATTTACTTCATTAATATTACAAGAACCTTCACCTTGATTCAAACTATTATCAGCTTCAGAAACAATATCATCATCTCCATCATCTCCTTCAATTGATGTTGTACAATCATCTTTTCCAGATGTTTCATTCGAACTTTTTGAGCGATAATTATCACTATTAACCTTATTTACATCTTCCAGGGTAGATTCGTTGAGAGAACTTCGATCTTCACTGATACTTCCAATATCAGCTTCACTTCGAACTTCTTCTTCTTCGTCGTTAATTGTTTCCAAAACAGGTTTGTTCAATTTCGATTCAAATTCTAGGTTAACATCAAGCTGTGTGTAATCGGAATATTGATCAACATAAGTAACAACAGTTTTACCTGGTGATAAAAGACTATCGGCTGATGATGAAGAGGGGTGAAAATCGTTACGACATAACGAGTTAGGATCACTGGCCAATGGTGTGGTCAAGATGATTGTATCTTGAGAGGTAAAACTAGAATCACTTGCAAGATCAGACGAAAGCTCTTCCGCTTCTGAATATGTTTCAGATGTTTCAGTAGCTTGATTTATTCTGTCACAATAACCATCAACAACATGATATCCTTCATCTGAACTTGAATGACCAATGGAATTGACATTTGAATTGAACCCTTGACTCTGTTGAATGAATTGACCATTTTGATAATGTACAGGAAAATCAGTCTCACTGAAATTTTCTTCCGATTCCATCGGATGGAAGACAGTGTCAATATCAGCCGTTTGGGAGCCAATAGCCTGAAGTATTTCATCCTCTTTGAGAACACCGATAATATCTTCTTCGAGTATCTCACTTTCATTTAAAATATTCTCCCAATGAAGAGATGAGTTGAGCTGATTATGATAATCGTTGACAAACTCATCTGACTCACATTGATCGTCATCATCGATGAAACTAATCGATGAATCTTTCTCATAAGAAGACATTGGAATAATGGAAGGATGTTTATTGGAAGATACACAATCCTGGTAATCGGGTGGAGGATCAAATGGTAACAGATCTTGATACTCGACGGGAGGGTCAAACATAAAACCAGAGGCGACTATTTCAATCAGATTGAAATCTGTGGGTGATTTGAGAGCAATAATTTGAGGCATCACTTCCTGAGGCCAATCGTCACAAAAAACCATCATGGTTTCAGCAAATTTGACTCTTCTCTTTGCTTTCCCATCTTTCTCTGATGAACTAGATGATGATGACGACGAATTAGAATCACATTTATTCCTTTTCAATAGACCTTTTAATGGTTTGTCAGATGAAGGTAATGGTTTGACCGGTACAACAATTTCATATTCCATTCTTGTTGGATCTTCAAGATCCATCATGAAGATGCCTTGAAGGAAGATCAACTATGGTTGACAATAGATGATCAGATTGAATTAACAGCTTCGTTGAAGATGAACACCTACCATATGATCCGGTGAAACACCCGGATAAAAGGGCAGGTAAAAGGTAAAAGATTAACAGTTTATACAGATGAGAGTAGAGAAATAATTTTGTTGAACAATAAATCACAATTTTGGTGTAAAACAGGAAGATGATTAATAGTAAACATAATTTGGATCAATTAATTAACAGGTAAATAGACATGGATAAGATGATAATAGTAAGATGATCACAAATCTTCAATGGATAACGTTACTGGATAACTGTGGTTGAATGGTAACATTATTTACATGAACATTTCGTTGGTTTGAGAAGAGAAATCAATCACCAATTATCAACTAGAAAACGAAAAAGAAGAAAAATGGTTGAGAGAAGAGAAAGATGCTCATCGTAGTTAATCAATTTAAAATGAATTTAATTAGAGTGAAAGTAGAGAAGTGAAAATGGAAGGAAACATTCACACAACACTAGAATGTGAAAGTTACCTTGGGATAAGCCAAAAAGTAGAGATTCCAGACGAGTAAATAGATTTACACACAAAGATATTAAGTGTGTGAGAGCAGTAAAACAAGCGCACTTCAGGCATCAGCAAGCACACATACAAACAGTTCGTTCAAGTGATGAATAGAAGAACAGAAAAGAGAATTAGTTTAGAGAAAAAAGGAAAGAGAGTTGAATCGGATGGAAAGAAAAAAGGATAAACAGAGAGTGAGTAAGGTAAAAAGAGATGAAGAATTGATGGAATAGTTGAAGTAACGTACGAGTTGAATGATATTCTGAGATGGAAACATTTAAACGAAAAAAAAGACACACGGTATTCGAAAATGTAATTCTCAAGTTGATGGGCAAAGAATGTAACAAATGGAAATTTAAGGGATTGGCGATAACACATTCACTTATTTTTCGATATGTGGAAAACAAATTCAATTTTCGAATTTCAATTTTGGGAGAGAAAATAAAAAACGAAAACAACAAAAAATAAGGAAAGAGAAAGAGAAAGAGAGATGGAGATAAGTGTAGAAGTAGAAAAAGAAAAGGAGGGAGAGAGGAAAATAGAGAAAAAGAGAAAACAAATGTTCACTGTTAACTTTCAGTGCGAAACAGAAAAATAACCAACCTGATTAAGATGAAGATGATTAGTTAAAGACATTTGGAGGTAATTGAATCAACTCTTTTCCAATTAAATGATAAACATAATCAACGACGAAAATAAAACAAAATCAAAATAAACAAGAAACCAAAAGGCTCATGAAAGCTTCAAGTTCAAAAATGGTTACAAAATGAGCGAAACAACAAAAGGAAAACCGTAGGTGTCGCTGAGGAAAGAAAAGAAAGAAACATAAGTGTCGCCATCTAGTGGGTCATGTGGTCGTTTTCTTTTCTTTCCAACTTTCATTCAATTCGCATTAATTATGGTTCTGAAACACGAGCTTGTCATCGAGGATTAAATTTAACATTTAACTGAGCAATTAACTGATTTCTTTGGAAAACATTGACCAAGGGATTGCCCAAATCTCTTGACAACTGAATTTATCAAGAGTAATGATGAAAGTTTGGTCACTATTTTTTTGGGTGAACCAAAGTAAACACTTGAGTGATTGTCAATGATCAGATTAACCATTTTGTTGTTTTGTTAATTGTTACCATCAATTGACAAATGTAATTGTTTCTGTCCTATTATTTAGAAAGTGATACAAGTGGGAAAAGGAAGTGCCAACCCAATTGTTAGCATCCATTTGTTTGTAGATTTACAAACAAATCAGATCCATATGATAACCTTATGGTTGATAGTTAATTCTTGTTGTTTATTTATGATCAGTTATGATCTATTTAAGATTATAATCAATCATGAAGTTTGATTTATTAATTTTCCATTTTCAGGTAAAGGTAAATATCGTGACTCATTAGGTGGTTAAACAGCTGGTAATTAGTTAAAAACGTGATCCGTTAATTGAATAATTGCAATTCGATTGATTAGAAAATCGTAATCACTCAATTATTTTCATCTCTTCTTTTAGATGCATGTAATAAATGATTCATTTGTTGATTAATTGAACTCTAATTTGTCGATTACAATCCAACAATTAACCTCCAGGGTTTCATGATGATTTAATATCATTAATTGGAAATCGTTGATTGATTTTTCATCATTATCGTTATCATTTGGTTAATTGTTTTCATGGTATTTTCACTTTTTTTTCTTGATTTATAGATGATTGTGAATCTTTCCTCTTGATTAAATCACCATTCAGATTAATTTGAATATTCAAACTTTTCAATTCATTTGTTTTCTTTTTCCTGGTTCAACAATTTCAAATCTAAACGAATTTGTTACTCTTAATTGTTGAATATCATTTGATGACATTTCCGTTGATAACTTTGGGACTTTAATCTATTCCAATGATCATCACCATTAACTTGATCGTTTAACGTTTTGTCGTTTCAATGGTTCATTAATTGTTTGTATTCAGCCTTCCATGATATGGAAATGATCAATAGTCATGGTGTTTATTATCTATGATATTATTTATTCAATTGAACAATTTTCTACTTTTATTCAGAAACAATCAAATTCATGATATCATGGAAAAAGATTCAACAATAAATACAAAAACTTCCAACGACATTTTGAGGTAAAAGAATCAATTTTTTACAGTTAACTTTAATACTCTGTGCAATAAGAGACTAATTAAATTCATCTCACACTAATTTCCATGTCTAATTTGGCAATTTGATCATCAAAAGACTGTAATTAGATATGTTTAATTGCTTCCAGGACTAATTGATTGTTTAAATTGTATCATCATCATAATGAGTTGAAATGAATCTTTCATTTAGGTTTGAGTTTCAGTATAAAGATCAGTAGGAAAATAAACATTCGGGTGGGATTATAATTAAAAAACAAAAGAGATTAAATAATCAAAGATTAACAGGAAAAGGTGGAGACGGAAATTGATGAAAAGATAATTGAAACAATCAACATCCGGTCAAGAGATTTGCAAAAGATTTTTAATTCAATTGTTATTGTGAAATCTTTTCGTCACCAATTATTAATAAATGCTTCCTCGAGGAATGAGACAATTAAAGATTAAATTGTTTCGATTAAAAATTAAAAATCTCGAAGGTCGAATCGATCAATACAATTGATACTTATTTTCCACAATAGATGGCAACTCATTCATCTTAATTATTCAGTCAATTTGATTAATGTTTCAATCAAAACTAAACAATTAGTTATGATTGTGATTCAGTTAGTCCATCGAAAGGCCATTGAGATGACCATTGACTGTCCACCAGTCACATGGACCAAATCACAAGCTCAAACCGAGTTGACAAATTGACTTGTAACTTACATAATTTAAAAGACGATAAAAATATCATTTAACTGGATTTAATTAGTCGTTGATTAATCAACTGTTTCTGATTTTTCATGAACTAATCTTGACTTACTTACAGGAATCAATATTTTTAACATAATATTTGAACTTCCTCAAAAGTTTATTTCAAGATCATTTTGAGTAACAAGAGAAAACAAAAAATGAAGGTAAATGAGCATCTTCATCACTTTTCAGAGAATAACAAACAGACAGAATCATTAACGTTTCCATTTGATTTTTACTCAAATTATGAAACCTTCAAATTGATTCTTGTTTATGCAATTTGATTAATCAATGATTCTAATTGATTAAACCCACCCATTTATCCTCCTCTCTCATCATCACTGAATCTTCCGTCAATCTGACGGAACAAGTTCAATTCAATGTCTTATCCAATTGAAACTTGTTTTCCATGTTTATAATCATTTGATTATTTCCAAGAAAAAGGAGATGATTTTCTGATTTAGTTTCAGTTGAACAGAAATCAGAATTGAGTTAACATCATTTTCGATCAAAGTTTCTATTTTAATTACTCTTACTCTCTATCGATAACTTTTTCTATTGTTATACTGTGTCCATCCTTTTGGTTTTCTCAATGGAAAAAATATTTAATTTATTTATCGTGTTTTTAATTGTTCCAAATGTTTTGACGGCTCGAAGAAGTGGATTAATATCAGGATCTATTGGTTCATCTCCAATCGTTTTCCCGAATTCACAGAGACATCCAAATGTAAGTTGTCTTTAATTAATCTAATTTTCAACTCATTAACTGAATAATAGAAATTTAAACATTCGAAAATCGTTGAATAGTTGATTGAACAATTAAAATCGCGACTCAAATTAGTCTTTGTATTTGAAATTTTTCTGATCAGGAGTGGAAATTGTGTCATAACCAAAGTCACTTACGTAGGAATATCGTTCCCCGGGAAACCCCGAGTCAAATTTCAATTAATCAAGTTAATTATAGATAATTGAGAAAATTGGAATGATTTAATTGATCATTTAAGATCAATTATCTTTTATTAGCACCTTCGATAGGCATCATGTTCAGATTAACCCAAAGCATCATAATGTGTTTTCTAATTGTAAGAAAATGCCTCAGGGTGTTTACTTTTAATGAAAACTCATGGTTGTGTTCGTAAGAGTTTGGTGATTACCTGATGTTAGTTTAATCCATGTTTTTCTGTTCATCAAATTTCAAGGTTCGAACAAAATTCAAAGTGAAATTGTTCAAAGTAATTAATTACTCGATAATTAATTGGTTTTCTTTTCTTTTCAGGCACAGAATTCATTCGATTCAGCTTTAATTCGAACTGCTGGTTTAAGAAACGCAAGTGAGGTTTTTGCAGCTCTTGGTATTAGTGGTTTTAGTGAAGATAATGATGATGCTATTTTAGGTCGAAGGAAGAACAACATCGCCGAACAAGCGGTTTGTGAGCCGGAATTGAGAACAGTGGAAGTCGGTGATCAGGGCGTTGAGGCTGGTGAGATTTTCTTTCCAAAATGTGTTCGAGTCTTGAGATGTGGAGGTTGTTGTGATATTAGCGATCGAATGGCCTGTACACCCACCAAAATATCTTATCGAGAAGTGAAAAGAGCCAAGATTCGGATTCGACGATCAGCTACACCTTCAGCTACATCGCAATCGATTCCAATCGAAGTTCATGAGGAATGTCGATGCATGTGTAAGTTTCATTCTTTCGATTCTCATTCAAACTCATTTCCTGTTCTCTCTGATTCATGTCCTCGTTTTCCATTCACTTCCTTTTGTTTCAGGTAAAGTAAAAGAAGAACATTGCAATTCGAGTATTCATGTTTACCAAAAAGATCTCTGTAAATGTGCCTGTAAAAACGAACAAGAGTTCGCTGCCTGTCGCAACATGGCTCCACTGAAGACATGGGAGAACAGTGAATGCAAATGCAAATGCAGGGAAGTGAAACATTGTCCATCAGGAACAGTCTTTAGTCATGACACTTGCAAGTAAGTTCCATTTGTAATTAGCTTGACCAATCGCTAATCGAATTCATCTCCATTCATTTCAGTTGCGAGGCTACTTAATTTTGGCGATTTTTGGCTTCACGAAAGGAAAACGATAAAATCCTTATCCACTTCAAGCGTTCAAGTCAATAGAGATGAACGATAATCTATTTTTTGTCCATTCTCAACAAACTAATTGCTCAAACTTTTCACTTGATAATCAATTTCTTGCAATCATTAAAATTGAATTCAATTAGTAAATGAAAACTGTCAGAATTAATTGCTTTAGATGTCAATGATCGAAACTGGATTAGTGTTTCTACTTAATATTAATTTTGTGATTAACAAAAATTGTGAGAATTAAGACCGGTTATTCCTAATCTTGGAAATCTATTGATTTAATGAGAGACTATTTCTGAGAAAAGTTTTCATCTTTAGTCATAACGAATTAATTATTAATTCAGCTACATGATAAGAAAGGGTAAATGGAGAGTAAAGAAAAAGAAATGATAAATTTCGAGTTTCAAGGTCATCGAGGTTAATCTTTGTAATAGCGAATAGAATTTTAATATCTTTCGAGAAAAAGCCAATCTAATAATGGACAAGTTCTTAAATTCAAGTCAGAGTTACGATTAATTATTAATAGAAAACAATTTCTGATTCGAGATATTCCAAAATCTGAATAAGTGTTTAAAACTAATTAGCTCAGAATAAAAGACAAAAAGACCTTCAAATGTCCTCTAGATGTGCTATTACATAAATCGAACTGCTAAAGTCTCTTGATTTGTAATGATTTTCAGTAGTATTTTGCTGAATCTCCTTCACCAAAAGAACCAAGAGTTGAACTTATCATTAGATAATCAACCAGAGTCACTAGGGGTCAATCTGACCAACCAAACCTGAAGTTTTGATTCGACTTACAATTGATTAATGATCTGGGTCACTTCAAGTATAATCACTAGTGGAGAGTAACATCGCTTAAATTAATCTTTCCTGAAACATTTAAATTAGCAGATTAAATTGTTTAGATAAATTAATCTCCGAAGGTCGAATTGATTGTTGTTTTCTTTCAACAATCAAGTGATAACAGTTTGTTGAATTAACGATTTAGATAAAATGACAATCAACAAGTAAACTCGAGAGGAAATTATGACAATAGAAGATAAAATGTTTCACTTGTATAGAATTATAATAATAAAATATCAATAATTTACAATTAATTAGACTTATAAATTATTGATTTTCTTTTGAATTGTTTGTTTTTGGTGCAAAATAATGATATTAATACAATCAATAGAGAGGTTGGTTTAGCTTGGTAATTAAGTGTTGATACACTTTCAAGTTGATCTAAAATTGAACAGAAATAACTATCAACTGATAATTGAAAATTAAACTAATATCATTAAGAGAAAGAAAAAGTTGATCAACAAACTTAAAGTAATCAAATATTATTAGTATATTAGTTTCCATTTCAATGAAACTTATTCTTCTCATTCTCTGGCCATCAATAATGAATATAAATTGTTTAGTTTGCGATCAAATCAACTGTTTAAAGGGCTAAATCGGAATGAATTATTTAAAGATTCTATGAATATATGAAGATATATTCATTTAAGATGTAAGAGAATTGGAACAAAAAGTTGACAATTAAATGTGATTTGTGTTTGATTTGGTATGAAAAAGAATAGATTGAAATAAGGAAAGGATGAGAAAACAATCAATCATGAAAAACATCGAGAGGATTATTAAAGATACGTTCGTAATTTTTGGTGATTTGAGAGTTGATTAAATGATTCTGATTTTAATCGTTTGATAATTATGATGCTATGGTGTTTGCGATATAATGTATCAAATGAAAAGATACTGCTGACCAAAAATCCTCCTATAAATAGATGAGAAGGGATAGAAAAGAGGAAAAGGAAAAAGGAAGGTGAATTTCATGAGATGTTTAATATGTTGATCCAATGAAGATGTCGGGTGGTGCTTGTGTTTGTAAGTGTATTTGAATAAATTCATGTAATGATTTAATGTGCATGTTGGTTAACATGGTTGTTTAAATGAAGCTCATTGGTTTGGCCTTTAACTCAGAGTCATGATTGATGGTGAGACTTAAGTTAGCCAAGATGTAACTTTAAACTTATTTTCTCAAATTAAAGAGTTGATTAGATTATTCATTCTTAGGTTGGACAATGATGGCAGTGTGTTGGGAACCAGCGGCCACCCAGATAACTTTGTGAGTTTCCAAATTCTTAGCTATCACTTGAGTTGGAGTCCAAGCATCAGTATTTCCTAATCCTAATGCATTTCCTTCCATTCCCCAAGCATAAAGATCACCTTAGCAAGAAATTAAAATTAAGTTAGATTTGAATTGTGGCAACTAAATAGAGATCAAAACAAACAAGACTTACCTTTTTCAGAGACGGCAAATGAAGTAACTGAGCCCACGGCGATATGTTTAATCAACTCTTTGTCAAAGCTTTCAATTAGTTTAGGCTCTTCATATGAGTTTTTTAGTAGCCCATGTCCTAATCGGCCATATTCATGTCGACCACAAGAGTAAACTTTACCTTTGGAATCTCTTGCTAACATAAAGTGCTGACCAGAACAAATTTGTTCAACGAGACCATCACATTTTTTGAATGAAGGAACGGGCGTGGGGAAAGGAACCGTTAAGTCTAATTTATCATCATTTTGAAGGGTTGATTGAGGGATTCCTAGTTGGGAATAATTGTTTAATCCCCAAGCGAAAATATCTCCACTTTTTGTTCTAGCATAGGATGAATATTGTCCAGCCCAGATTCGATCGAATGTTGTACTTTCATCAAATTTAACGAGTGAAGGGTTGAGGAAAAGTTCTTTTTTCTCTTTGATTTCTTTCATTTCATCAGCTGATATTCTACCCAATTGTCCCTGTTCCCCGACTCCAAGGGAATAAATTTCTCCAGTATCGGTTAGTAATAAAAGATGATCATTTCCAGAGGCTAAGTCCACAAAAGTTGTATTAGAAATCTCAATTTGAACGGGTTCTATTTGCCCTTCTTTAGAATCACATGTTAGTCCGATTTTTCCGTTTGAGTCCTAAGAAGAGAAATTTTATAAGAAATGAGAAATAAAAAATTATAAGTTAATTTTTAACATCAATATTATAATTTTGTCAGAGTGGAACAATAGTTTTACATCAAGTATAAGCCTTGACATAAAAGTCGTAGCAATAAAATTAACTACACGTTCTATAAGAACGATCATCATCAAAGATTAAAGAAAACATGGATCGGAACAATCAAATTGATCCATTCAAAAGTAACATTGTGTAGATTAAATAGAGAAGATAATTAGTAACATAAAGAATTGATAACAAAGTTAATCTCTAAGGAATGAGAAGGATAAGATCACGAGGACACAAGAACAGAGTATGTGCACAAAAAGAAACCAACAATTACGACCAAAACAATGATTACCTTGAAATTGCCCCAAATGTAAATAGAACCGGTTGATGTAAGAGCGGCCGAATGCGAGTCACCAGCACTCACTTTCACGATCTTATAAGGTAAAGGCACTTTAGCGGGTTCAGCGGACAAATCTCGATCATCGACATCTTCAGTCTTCCTCCCAAGGGCGCCTTCATCATTACAGCCCCAAGTGTATATTTGACCGTTTGATGTTAAACAAACATTATGCATACCTCCGGATGCGATGAAAACCACTGGTTCATCGACATCTTTCACGAAAACAGGTCGCTTTTTATTGACCCCAATTTCTTTCAGGCCAAGTTCGCCACACACATCGTCACCGAAAGTCATCACTTTTCCAGAAAAACTGGGAATATCGGGTATGTCCAGTAAATGTGTTCTCGCTCTTTTCATTTGCTTCTGTTTGGCAATTGTTACTTTATCATCGGTTTCTTCGTCTTCATCCAGGTCGTCAGTTTTTCTTTTAGTAATATCTCCATTTTTGTCATTCAATGTTTCCATTGGTAATGTTTCATCAAGGCCAATATCATCCTCAGTGTCGTTCATACTTTTATTAGAAATGTCTTTCGTGTCTCCAGAAGATTTGCAGATTTCTCCATTTTCTACGGAAGCATTTGGGACAATTTGATCTTCTTTAGAAGCTTCAATAATTTCTCTTGTCTTTTCATTCTCGGTATCACTAATATCATTGGCTAAGTTTTCATCTGAAGGTTTTTCATCGACAGATTTGTCACTGGACTTATCATCGTTAGACTTTTCATCGATTGACTTCAAATCGTCATCGGGTATATCTCGAATTGAATTATTATCCAAATTTACATCTAAGCTATCACGTGTTTCGGCAACACTAGATGCATCATCTGCAGCACTCTCTTTCTCTTCAACAGTATCAGCAACTGTATCATTCAATTCCGCTTCCTTAATTTCTTCAATTGTCCGTTCGACTTGTTCCTTGATCCCTTCGATCACATCGACTACAGTGGGTAAAATTTCAGGTTCTCGAGTTGTCTTTTCACTTGCGACCATAGAATCGGTTTCTTCTTCAATCTAAACATGAAAAAGCAAAACAAATGATCAGAAAAACTATTACTATAAAAAGAGGGAAATGAAGATTTTGAAACAAACCTTATCAAGAGCTGGTTGACTTTTCACCGGTTCTTCTTTCGGTTCATCTGGAACTTGTTCTGACTCTGAAAATAATAAGCAAATAATGTTGACTAATCTAATTGCGATTGATTAATTACTCTGTTTTACCTTTTTCTTCGACTACTGGAGCAGTTTCAGGCTCGGGTTCAGGCGTAGCTTCTTTTTTCCTTCCTCTGGTACTTGTTCGGGTTCCGGCGCGTGCAGGTTTCGAGGCAGGTTTTTCTTTAGGAGTTGAAGTTGTGCGAGCGCGTGTGGCTCTTTTTGGTTTTGGAGCTTCTTCTTCATCTGATTGATCAACAACAGCGGCGGTAATAGCAGCAGCAGAACGTTTTGTACCTCGGCCTCTAGTTGTTCTACCAGTGGTAGTAGTAGTTGTGGTTGTATTTGTAGAGTTAGTAGCATTAGTAGTAGTGGTTGTGGCTTCAATTGTAACAGCAGTCGCAGTAGCGGGCTTTACCGGCTTAGCTTTTTCAGCCTTTGTTTCTTTAGCAGGCTTTTCAATGACAGGCTCAGGGGCTTTTCTACGAGAGCCTTCAATTTGAAAAGAGAATAAAAGATGAAAATGGTCAATCACTTAAGTGTTAAACACAAAGACGCAATAAAATAACTAGAGTAAAATCCTACCTCTTTTTGGTGGTTCAGGTTGTTTTTCGGTTTCTGATTCTGAGTTTTCTGTTTGTTTTGATGCAACTGGTCTACCTCTTCGACCGCGAGTAGCTTTAACTTCAGGCTTACTTGGTTTTTCCTCGGGTACCTCTTCAATGACACTTTTCCTGGTTACTCTGGTGCTGGATCTTGTAGCTCTGGTGGGTCGTTCAGTTGGTGGAGGAGATGAGGCTTTGGTCGCAGCTTTTCTGCCTCTGGTTTCCTTTGTTTTAATCTCTGTAGCATTTGTTTTAGGCATCACAAAGAGATTTGAATGATGTTGTTGGAATTATAAAGAAATTAACACTTAAGGTAATAATTAAAATAAACAATAACCAATAAAATCATTAAAAATGACCATCAAAACCTCTCAACGTGTTTGCTATGATGGGCGATAATATCGATATCGATAAATGATATCGATATTTTGGCGTCTTTTTTATCGATACAAGAAAAAGAATATCGATTAATAGTTCTCTTTCTTTTTACTCTTACTTTTAATGACATGTGATTTTCGCTGATCTTTTTACCGATTTTTTAAAATTTATCTCTTTCTCTTACTTTTTTCCATGTCTTTGTCTCTGTCGCTTAAATATCGATCAAATCGATATTTGAAATCTAAGTATCGATATTGTTCGATGATATTTTTTTCAAATATCGCTCATCTCTACTGTGAGAGTCTAATCGATTTCTAATAAAAAGACAGAGAATAAAAGAAAGAAAAAAATGTAGACACTGAAAAAGAAAGAGAAGAAATCGATAAATTTACTTCGATTTATTCTTTGTGAATCGATTAATAATCGTTCATCAGTTAAAAGCTGAAATTCAAATATCGATAGTATCGTTTTTCTTATATCGATACGATTGTTGATTTGTAAATATTATTTTTCATTTTGGTTAATCCATAAGTCTAAATCCTAAATCTCATCGAGTGTTGACTTAGATCAATGATGAGAGAGGATCGAAAAAAGAAGAGAATATTAATTAAACTTGATAATGATGCTCACAAGTCAAAATCCATTCAATCCCCTGATTTTTCTGGTAAATTGTTATAATTTAATTCCAGTCAATCTCTTTTGTTTATCACTAATCTGTTTGTTTATCTTTCAGTGATCTCACTTAAATGTCAAGCTAAACACTATGAATGGGGTAAAAAGGGAAGCAGTTCATTTGTTGGTCAGATCCTGAAAGACCAAGGAACAACTATCGATGAAGATAAACCCTATGCTGAGGTAAAATTAGATTAAATGTAATTCCAATCTCACTGAAATTGAGAAACTAATTGAATATTTAATTTGTCTGTTTTCCAGCTTTGGATGGGAACTCATAAATCTGGTTCATCTTGTATTTGTGGACTGAGTCCTGGTTTAGATGGACACTCACTCAGTGATTTGTTCATTGCTTTCCCTGAATTCATCGGGGACATGAATATCTTTAAGAAATATGGTCATCATTTACCATTCTTGTTCAAAGTTCTATCGGTTGGAAAGCCTTTGTCCATTCAAGTTCATCCTGACAAAACATTGGCTGGTCAATTATTCTCATCTCGACCGGAACATTATCCAGACCCTAATCATAAACCAGAATTATCGATTGCCTTAACTGCATTCTCAGCACTGGCTTACTTTCGTCCCCACGATCAAATCATTGGTTTCGCCAAGAAATACAAAAAATTTGGTCAATTACTTGGAAGTGAATTGCTTAATGGTTATGAGAATAGTGACAAACCTAATCGACAGAACTGGCTGAAGAAATGTTTCGCCTCTTTGTTAACTAAAAAGCCCGAGAATATCATTGCGACAATTAAAGATTTGGTTAATCAAGCCAATGTCGATACTGGCGATGAAACCTTGAGACTATTCAAGCAAATCGCTGATCATTATCCTGATGATGTCGGAACCTTTGCTTGTTTTTTTCTTAATCACATTCAACTGAAACCTGGTCAAGCTTTTTTCATCGATGTCAATCAACCCCATTGTTATTTATCAGGAGGTTAGTTGATTGTAAATGAAATGTTTTCCTTGTTAAATTAATCGATTTTCTTTTCATTTCTTCCTTCAGACTGTATTGAAATCATGGCTTGTTCAGACAACGTAATCAGAGCTGGATTAACACCCAAATTCAAGGATGTTGAGCTTCTCTGTGAAACGATGACTTATAAGCCCAAACGAATGGAAAAGTTCCTATTGGAACCGATTCGCAATAACGACTTCACTTGGTTATATTCGCCTCCAGTTGATGAATTTGCTATTGAAAAGATCGAAATACCCAAAGGAAAATCTTCTGGATCACAATTTCCATTACACAGACTCCATAGTGCATCTTTATTAATTGTTATTGAATGTGAATCTGGTTCAATTAACTCAACTGCACTTAAAAAGAGTAGAGTTTATTTTCTACCACCAGGATTAAATTATTCTTTATCCGGTTTACGTGGAAGATTTTTAGCTTTCAGAGCTTTTATTAAACAATAATCAATTCAAGTGATTTAGTTTGACTCATTACAAAGATCAACTAATCTGTTCAAATTGACCTGATTTTGTTCAAAATTTCCCTTTTATCTAATATCATTATTGAAATTATCTTAAATCTATCAAATTGTCATATTTCATTTGTCGTTATTTCCTTCAAATTAAACTAATCATTAAATGTTAATCTTAATTTTATCCAAAAATAAAAGCAAAATAAATGGTAATCTAATCATTTATCTTCAGCAAACGAAGAAGAGAAAAATAATTTAGTTTCATCTTGATTATCAGCAACACTGATAACGTTTAGACTTTGATTAACTTAATCACAATTAATTTTTTTGATTTTTGACACTACCACTTATTAGCTGTTTAGATAATCAAGAGAACCTCTAGAAATACAATTGATTGTTGTGGTTAATTAGTGAGATGATGATACTTGATTTGGATCTTTTATCCAATTATTCATTTGATCATGAACATTTATCGTTGAGATTTATTATTAATTAAATTGAGACCTACATTTACTAAATTCGTTAACAATTAAGATTTGAGTTGAGAAACTGGTAATTTGAAGCTTGTACATAAAAAGAAATGGGGATCGAGTTGATTGTGAAACAATTGACTGATTATTTAGAACTAATTGAAACTAAATTAGAGTTAAATTGATCGAAATTTCTGTGAGAGAAATAATTGTTACAATCTAAATAAAGTAAATTAACAAATTCAATAACCTATAAGATTAACTGTAAATATTATTATAATATTTTAATCATTGGAAAGGAAAAGAAGATGAAAAGATGAAGATACAAATGATGAGTAAGAATAAAAGGAAAAGATTATTTCATGAATTGAATTTGCTGATTCACATTCAGCTCAGAATTTTTGTGATGAAAAAAAAAGAAAATTCAGTTTCTTTTCAGTGAATTTTCATTTTATTTCCTTCATTCTTATTCTTATTTTTATTCTTCTCTATTCTCATCATCATCTTCATTCTCCATTGGATTCACCAGATACAAGAAGATGATGTGAAAGAAGATAGAAAAAAGTTCTACTGGAATTGACATTAAAATGATCTGAAAGTCTGATGAATGATCTCAGGAAAATTTAAAATGAAAAGAAGATGAAAGAAAATTGAATCCCACTAACATTATCATCTTCCCTATCTTCCTATTCACTTCGAACTCCATCGAGAGAGAGAGAGAGAGAGAGAGAGAGAGAGAGAGAGAGAGAGAGAGAGTTCATTGCAACCCTTTACTTTCATCTTCTCATTACTTTGCTCTTATTCTTGTTTTCAATCTCATCATGTAACATCATCTTTTTCCTGAAGGCAAACCTGAAAACCAAGAACAACAATTTACTTTGATGTTCAACTGAATAAAAGCGAGAAAATGATTTCATGGCAATTATATCGGCAGAATTTGAATGAATACCATGAGCTTAAGATGAACAACGAAACAATGAGTAAAATCAACTAATCAATGAAACAATGAAACGAAAAACAAAAAGCACCATTAAAGAAAACCCTAAGGTTGAACAGTGATGAAAAATTCAGGTCCTGATTTTTTAATATCTCATCATTTCTACCATGAACCATCACCATGAACATTAGGATGATGGAAACGGAAGTAAAACAAAATAAGCAGAAGGCTGAAAGCAATCAAACCATGATAAAGATAATGAACATGAAAGAATGAAAAATTTAATTTCAAATATTTTATCAGATTCTCTTAATGTCTTCATTTTATTATTATTTAATTTCAGTTATCAAATATTACATTTTGATAGAGTAAAAAAAGATGAAGATGAATATGGGGAAGGCGAGATTCCTCAAAAAGAAACTAATAACTCCCTCGTCTTCCTGCTCACTCGAACATTTTTCACTCCCAATCATCAAAGTATAATAAACGAAATATCTTTCATATGAATTATTATTTCTCATCATTATTTCAATTTTAAATTGGAAAAGATAAGATACTGAGAGAGAATAGGAGAGATTACAGTCAACCGAACAGAAAAGCAGAATCATCATGATAAAATTCAGTAATCACGAAATGATAAAAATCAGCATTCTAAGCCTATAACTTAAAAGCAATAAAAATATAGGAATCCAATATTATCCTTAGCATCCTCATCACTCCCACCAATGAGTCAGACTAAATCAATTCAATGATAATCTTGATCATAACAGAGTTTGGGATAATCTGGATTAGCATTAAAAGCTATTGATTAATCATCGATTAGAGTTAAATAATTTGCAAACCATTTCTGTTAATCATGTTTCTAACTAATTCAATCAATTATCATTATCATCAAATTAGCATTTGTTTATCTAATTAGTATCAACATTGGATAATTGAGTTTGATTGGAAAGAAAAATTAACTATTAATAATATGTTAACAATTAAATTAAACAATAGAGTAGTTAACATGTTAACTAATGATTCCCTTGAGGTCTTGATTGGTAAATAAGCTAAATTAAATTAACTTTAATTTAACCAAGAAAATTTTAGTTTAGTTGTAGAAACTTAATTGGCCATTAAATGGATGTTACCTTAAGCAAATTAACTGATGATAATAATGAATGAAGATGATGAAGGAAGAGAAAAGCAATCATCATTTACTTTCATTGAGTAATGAAGATGAAGATGATGATAATGAGGAAGAAAAGAGGATAAACATTATTATTTTAATTGGTTAGAAAGAGATGATTAGGATGATGAAGATGATAAGAGAAGATTATTCTTTTTCTTGATTACATTGTAATCAATTTGTTTCCTTTTCTTTTATTAACTAAACTATTTAATAACAGTTAATCCAAATAATGTACTTGACTTAATGAGAAATTAAGTTAATCAATCAACGCATCTTCATCAAAACCACTACTATCATCATCATCCCTCCTACTCCCTCTCTTCCTCATCATCATTATCATCTCAATGAATGTGTAAAAAGTTGTTAACATGAATTAACTTAAAAAAAGGTCGATTAATTTAACTTGAGCCTCTCTTTTACTCGTAACTAATTTTCATTCATAATAAACGAAGACAAAGCAAAAAGTTTATCATCCTCATCATCTCATTCATAATAACAGCTCTTTCTCTTTCTCTTTCTCTCCCTCATCATCATCTTTTTTACTACTAATATATTAGAGCCTAGAGATTTCATTCTTGACTGAATTTTCTAACATTAAATATGATTGTCATAATTATTTATTCTTAACCCATTCTCTTTGCCTCTCAACACCCAATTACATGGCAATCAAAATACATAATCATCCTCATCATCTTCCTCCTCCTTTCTCATCATATTTAATAATAATAATCATCATAATTTAAACATTACACTAACCACAATCATTATCATCATGTAACCTGTTCATTTGAACAGTTTTTGTTTCGAGTCATGTTAACCTGGTAAAAGTTAATTTACTTTGGTGACAATTGTAATTGTTGTTTGATTGAGCAAATTATCGTGTTAATTAACAAGTCAATCTAATGACTTGGAAACACGTTGGTGATAATCATCAAAATGGTGAACATTGTCTCATTAATTTCGTTGCCACTCATTATTACTCTCTCTCTCTCTCTCAACTATTTCAATTTATTACTTTAATTTATATTAATAATGATGAAGATGATAAGTAAAACTGTCAACCTTATGATATTTTCTCTACTTTTATCACATCCTCTTCACCTAATGTTATATCAAATCGAAACAAAGTAAAAACTCTGTCGCCATTTTGATTGAATTTTGTTGTAACCTTTTTCTCCTCATCTTCATATCTTCTTCATCATTCTCATCATTAACATCAACATTCCCACAGACAATCTGAAGAAAGAAAGCAAAAAGGAAAGAGATGAGAATGAGAATGATGAGATTCTATTTTCATCCTCATCACAAAAAGATCTTGACTCTATATATTTATAACTGTTGATAAAGGAGATGAAGATTGAAGTAAAAATGATTCTAAAGACGAAGAGAAAGATCCAAAGCATCAGTTTCATCCTCATCCATCGGTTTGATCTCATGAGAATCAGGAAGAAGAGGAAGAAGAAAAAAGGATTGAATGAAATTTTAGAAAAAGAAAATCAGCATCAATATACATAAATATGGGCAAGAAGAAGATGAAGAGACATCGATATAAACTGAAGATCAAAATGAGGATGAAAAAGGAAGATGAAGGAAAAAGAAGATTTTTCTCTGTAGGAAACCATTGGATGATTATTCATCTTGATAACGGATGTTTTCACATTCGCTTCTTCATCTCCATCATCATCAACATGTTTCACTCTCTAAACAGATGAAAGCATCATCATAATCCTAAACATGAGAATCATCATCTACATCATTGGAAAATGTAATAAATAAAAAGGAAGGGCAAGGAAAGAGAAGGATTGAAAAGTTCGAGGAGGATTCGAACATGAAGATAATATTAAGAATCCATCAATGGGAATGTTGAACGAGAGAAAATATTATCATTACTGATAGTAAAATAGCCTTCAGATGAAACATGATAACTACCGAAGGGGAAAGAAAATTAAGTTCAGGATCATTGATTCTTGTTCATGGTAACATCCATATTTTCATTCTCATCATTCAACATCATGTAATCATCGTTATTCCTCTTTCTTTTCCTCTTTCTATTTTCCTCTAACATCTTCAATCAATTGTTATTATTACAAGATTCAATTCTGATTATTTGATGTTCAACCTCATCAAGTATATTATTAGTTAGCATCCAGAGCAAAATAAAAATGATAACAATAATAATCATCATAATGATGATGATAACAAGAACCTGGAAATAAATTGAAAGGATTTATTTTATTTCTTATAACATGATAATATTACAATATTATAATTTTCTAGTTTCTTTTATTATGATAAACTTAAACTATATAATTTGCTTCTAATAAGAGACAGAAAAAGTTCAGTTCGAGCTTTTTTCTTTCTCCTTTTCTGATAACAAATAAACCAAATCAATATTTGGAAAACTATTGATCAAGAGACAAACTTATTATCATCCATGAGAATGATGATAATATAGAAGATAAAAATGACATGTTACAGTTTTCATAATAAGAGTTGTCATGTTATTTACTCAGAAGATGAAGATAAGAACGAGAATCGTGAGTTACTCTATAATGATGATAGACTGAAAAGCAATTTATATGATGATGATGAAAGAAGATGAAAAAAAGATGATAATACAAAAATAAATGGT